AGCGCCCTCTAGCGGATACAGTAAAACTATGCCCATGGTTCGTTTTGTCGTACCAAAAAACCCTTGTATACCAATTTTCACTGTTATACATCAAATATTGTTCGAAATATTTAAAAAAAACTATTTTAGAAAGTAAATTTAAACACCCTGTATTTCGGAAGCCACGCATTTTTCGACCCATGTTTATATAGACTTTATGCATTAATTTTGAAAGTTCTATCGAATCTTAAAGTTATGCAACAATAAACTGAAACACCCTGTATATACGAAATCCAGCAACTGGATGCTGTTGTTGAGCAAGCCTATGTACGTTATAACTTAGGTTAGGTTCACAAAATTATAAAAATTTACTTTCTTATTCACACTGTCATACATTCACTTAGTTTCTTGTAAAATAATTCTGAATGCTACAACATTTTTACAAAAACAGAAAAGACGTTCTGTATACTCAAGCAAATCAGCACAAAACTGGTAAAATGAATGACTGAATCAGGCAAATGCCGTAACGAAGTTAATGTGGTTGTTACGGTGTTTGACTGAAATTGTTCAGTCATTACAGGGAATAACTGAAATGCTTAGTCAAACGTTGTCATAATCAAACTGTTGCGGTGATTGCCGGCAATACGGGGGCTGACTAGGCATTTCAGGGATTGACGAATTTCAGCGTTTGACGCCGACATATACAGGGTGACTTCGAAGTTGAGTCATTTATTTTAACAGTGAGTAGATCTGATCAAAAAAAATGTTTTTTTCCTTTACCATTTTTCTGGTAAAATTAAAGTAACAAAGTTATAGCCCTTTGGAAGTTTGAGTACCGCCCTGTCTCAATGATAATATTATGTGCTCGTGTTTGGCAACAACGGATATAATCCGCCTTATCGGTTCATCGCATCGGAAACAAAAAAGCGAAAGAATTTGGAACGATGTTTTTACAATTATTTTATTCAGTTGTGTTGTATACAGTCAGTGTCAGTCAGTAACGCGTCAGTGAATAGTAGTGTGTGTTGCGTGACTCAAACGAAATAAAAAATGGCACATGTTTATGCGGATCGGTTTCCCAATCGAGTGCAACCAACCCCTCGTGCCTTTGTTAATGTAGTACAACGGGCTCGTGAATCAGGTGACTTAAGACGGCATGCCGGTGCTCCAAGACCTCGCGATCAAATCCAGGTCCGCACTGAAATACTTGTTGGGAGGATACTTTATAAAACAAGGTAATTTTTTTTTTATTTTTACACACATATTTTGGTTTATCTTCCTTCTACAATCATTATCTGAAAATTAATGACTCAACTTCAAAGTCACCCTGTATAATGATTTTCAGACACGGATGTTTGGAAACAACTATATATATATATATATATATATATATATATAGATTAATAGTAAAGTTAAACCATTAACGTGTTCTACCTAAAGATAGCCAACCTAACGCTATAATGCCGCGCCCATAAAAATGTGCCAGTTAAAATGACATACCATAGTTGCATCTATGAAAATGTATCATAGCTATTTCTGTTTACTATCGACTTCGAAGTTGAGTCATTTATTTTAACAGTGAGTAGATCTGATCAAAAGAAATGTTTTTTTCCTTTACCATTTTTCTGGTAAAATTAAAGTAACAAAGTTATAGCCCTTTGGAAGTTTGAGTACCGCCCTGTCTCAATAATAATATTATGTGCTCGTGTTTGGTTCATCGCATCGGAAAAAAAAGCGAAAGAATTTGGAACGATGTTTTTACAATTATTTTAGTCAGTTGTATACAGTCAGTGTCAGTCGGTAACGCGTTTGAATAGTGGTGTCTGTTGCGTGGCTCAAACGAAATAAAAAATGGCACATGTTTATGCGGATCGGTTTCCCAATCGAATGCAACCAACCCCTCGTGCCTTTGTTAATGTAGTACAACGGGCTCGTGAATCAGGTGACTTAAGACCACACAGGGGACTGCATGCCGGTGCTCCAAGACCTCACGATCAAATACAGGTCCGCACTGAAATACTTGTCGGGAGGATACTTTTTAAAACAAGGTAAAAACATTTTTTAATTTTTTTTCATTTTTACACACATATTTTGGTTTATCTTCCTTCTACAATCATTATCTGAAAATTAATGACTCAACTTCAAAGTCGGCGCCACTTATATGCGTGTACATGCTCATATAGGCAGCGCAATCTATGAGACACTAACATTTTCAAAGCTTATACAGTAAATAGAGAAACAGCTTTGGTAGATTCATCAGGATGACGCTACGGTATCTCCATTTATCTGGGATAATTTTTTGGATGCGGAAATATAGCAATAGGTTGGCTATCTGGTAGAATACATTAATCAATGCTTAAACAGAACTGACCGAAGTACAGAACACATTTATAAGAATGCTTTTTCAGCAAGAAATTCTTATCACGATCCTGCAACAAGTCTTATCGTAGTGTACAATTTTTAATTTATAAGCAACTAGAGCTATTAGATTATGTAAAATGTCTACAGAACGTTTACTATGAAAACTGCCTTGTATCTTGTGCATCCAAAATTTGTTGAAACATGTACAGCTTTTGATTCTTTTATAAAAAACATGTTTTAGTGAATAAGATAAGATGAATAATTGAAACTGCTGTAATAACAAAAAATGTCGTATTTGTCATGCTTTTTATACTACTTCTTTCATTTACACATTACACAACATTGTAAATAGTTCACAAAAAAAAAGGTTCCTAGCACAATCTATCCTTCTAGTTCGCATTTAGTGAGCTCAATCCGGTTTTTTGATCGCAACATATACATTTTATGGGAATGAATGATTTAACCCTTTGCGGCCTTTTGTCTGGAACAGTTCATAGTTGATTTACCCGGTTGCTGATGGTATTCTGACGTTACCGTTATCAAGACAATTACTGGCTCCTATGATTTAGACTTTTTAGACACCAACCTTATGAAACTTGCGATCTAGAGCTTTGTATCAAGCTGGATCAATAATAACCATAGCGGTGGCAGAATACGGATTTCAAAATCAAATCTTTCAGTAACCGTTAGGCAGAGGAGCGGAGCAGGTGCCGCGCTAGCTTCGTCATTCGCGCGGGTTTTTACTCATGATGTCGCATTGGACGGGAGAACAGGAGCAAGCATATTTTAAAGGCGAATGAGTCGTGTGCAACTGCATGTCGCCAATTTTGTTCAGCAGCAAACAACCAGCGGCCGGAGCCTAGCCGGACGTCGAGGACTAATGAACTCGTCGCGAATAGCTTGCACGTTAATCCGTGATAATTAGTGAGCAAGAGAGCGGCTGCCCTAGGGCTCCCCAAGGGCATTGTGCACGAAATAATGAAGGATCTTAACTCGCACCCTTTTAAAATTCACTTAAGCCTAATGATTAATTACGACTTGCGCAAACATTTCTGTGAGACAATCTTACAGTAATTTCGTAAACACTTTTTTTGGAGTGACGAAGCCCAAATGGATGCGTAAATAAGCAAAATTGCCGTTGTTGGTCGCCTAAAGATCAGAAGCTACGTTTGAAGTATCAGCTGCCACTTCACAGTCCCAAAGTGACGGTTTGGTGTGCATTATCCAGTAATGGAATAATTGGGGCCTATTTTTTCGAAAATTGACGAGGGCAAGTAATAAGTGTGATCGGTGTCTTTCTTATCGGCACATGTTAAACGATTATTATCTGGCATTATAGAGATAATATCCTGCCTTTAGTTCGCATACATAGTTTAAACAAGATGGCGCCACAATTCACACTACTATAGATACGATAGCGCTTCTTCGAGATTTCTTTCCTAACAAACTGATTAGTCGTTTCGGTGACATACCCTGGCCACCCAGGTCACCGTATCTTACCCCCATAGACTTTTTGTGGGGGTATCTGAAAAGTAAAGTCTATGAAACAAACCCAGTGACCATCTTAGCTCTGAAACAAAATATTGTTCGAGAGGTTAATGCTATCCCACAACCACTTCTGCAGCGAGTGGCACGAAATACTGACGCGAGGTTTCAAGAGTGTGCCCGACGTAATCGTTAACATTTAGATGACATGATTTCTAAGAACTAAAACCTGCACTATTCTTCTTCATAATGATTATTGAAATAAATGTTTACCTTTTGTAGTTTTTTAAATTAGATTTTGAATCCGAAATCTGTCACCGGACTAAAGTACCTTACATCGAGTATTACACAGCTGGGGCATTATAGGGAGTGTAAATTGCAAGTTATGTACCTTGGCTCACTCTATACAATATAATTATTATATTGCATCATCTTGGCGTTATATTTTATCCATTATCCTACTACCGTTGTTAGACAACTTGGAATTATCTCATACATGCAATCTGATACGTCCTTCATGCTTTATTATATGACTTTATAAAAACCGTTGTACCTTCTGTTATGCAATCAGATAGGTATAAACTATTGTAGTGGTAGCTAGATTCATCAGCGGGAAATAAAATTTATTTTTTAAAAACCTCGTTCGCCCCTGGCAAACAATTTGCAGGATCGGCTTATTACTACCTATACTCGGCAAGCAAAAAGGAAGAAAGTCGTAATTCACGTCGTACGCCACTTCCAGCGCGGCATCTCTTCGAATATGTCGGAATAGTCTTTGCCAATTCAGAGGCACGTTGAGCCAGCAGTAGCGTGCGAAGTGTTTTGATGCTGGCTACCTTTGGTACCAGACTACGTTATAGTGAGCTTACCTTAATAAGTGATGTTGCCGGTCCTAATGTTGTCATTAGACACAAGTTATTGTGTGATTTGGCAAATCGGGGGGACCATGCCAGTGTTGCAATTTATACTACCTATGATGACCGGCTGGTTATAACATACTGTATGACATTTGAAGGGCCATTTTATTATCACTAGCATCAATTCATTATACCTATAATATAAAAGGAACGATTTCATAATGAATAAATAAACCATGACCGGAAAGGGTTAATAATAATAACTATTTTCTTTGAATCTGCGTTGGGTTAGATCTAATTATAAAACCTGTTTTTTAGATGATCTCAAAAATTGTGATATTTTTCGCGATATTATACACAGTATCGGTGTGTGCTTCACCATATATGCACCATACTAGGTTGACCAAAAGGGTGAAATATTGTGGTCCAGCTCTTGCAGATATTGTCAATCTGGTCTGTAGTGGAAAATACTATGCAAGGGAGGATAAACGATGTAAGTATAATTGGTAATGTCTAGAAAGTTCAATAACGTGCTGAGCTGGATTTCTGAACGTTGAGAAGCAGCTCATCAATTAGGGCTTCTTAATAAGAGAAAAAATTATCATAGTAGAAGAGCACAAGAAGCTAAATGGGTAGTTAATCGAACGTCGTAGGGACCTATGGGGTCTTGAAGATTATATCATCGAAAGAGAAAAAGGTTATATTATGTATACCCGTTTATTAGTGGGGGAGCGTCTACAGGTTGTCAAAGATGCAAAATAAAATTGTTATAATAATGATAATAATAAAGCATGCATATATTGCCCAACATTGTTATGGTACACATAAATTCTCGAGAGCTTCAGATATTGATATATATATATATATATATATATATTTTATATGTATATATATATATATATACGACATATGCCCCATGTGTCACTGATGTTGGAGGTAGGATAATCTGCTAGTTTGTAGCCACCGTATCTCGGCAAACAGTCAACATATATAGAGCTATCGGTTAAAACAAAATAGAAAAAGTGGTCACCTGAAATTGCTGGGAAATATTATCCTAAAGTGACCGCTAGGGGGCGTAACTCACAACTAGTAATGCTATTTTTCCGAAAACTTCCAATATTATTATTTTTCGATATTCAGACAGTGCATGGAAAATCCTACAGGGTAATGAAAATCGCATTTCGTTATCTTCATGGTGAGACGATGACTCCAATACATTTCATACAATATTCAATATCAATAAACTTCATTAACCTCGGCATATTTCTGAAGCAGAATGGGTGCAAGTTTTTTATAAGGATTTAATCTCAAATATTCAAACTAATTTTTCTCCAAAAAGGTCTGACAAACATTTCAAAAGAGATTCATGTAAAGTTGTTTACCTTATTCGAAAATGAAAAAAATGCATCATATATGGTTTTCCCTGCGTAATTCAGCAGCTACAATATTGAAACTGAAACCCTATGTTTGCGCTGCTTTTTTGAAACTGTTGATTTTGACACAAGAAAAGCACATTTGTAGCGCATTCAAAAGGTGTATGCTCTTACACTTACATATTTGCCGGAAAAAGGCATCGCCAGGCCCCGAGCTGCTTAGATTTCGATAAAGTACCTATTATATAATAACAGAACCTGCCACGTCATAGCGTTTACGACCTCGATTTTAAATTATATCGGTTTCTGGGCTGCCTTTGGGAGGATGTTATAAAAGAAGCACAGATTAATATTGCTTGATATCGTGGCGGGACCAACTGAGATTTGGGAAGAACTAAAAAATAAATTATCCTTACATATGAATAAAGGTTTTCTTTGCAGAAACACGGAAAACTCATCATTCACGCTATTATCCGACTTTGCATTTTATTATTATTATAATTATTATTACATAACAGAGGAGTTGAGCAAAAGTTATAAACTCCAAACAGAGATAAGAAACTGAATGTGGAAAAAATAAAGATCATATAAGCAAACTAGAGTTCGTCGTGCACCCATCTGTCTAAACATTCTTGAACCTGTTAACTGTGGATGCATTAGCAACGTCGTAGGGTAGCCTGTTCCAGGAATCAAATACACGGTTAGATAGTAAAAATTGGCTAGGTGTAGTTCGAAACTTCACTTCTATTAGTTTATAGTTGTGAGCCTCGCAAGTGGTTGGCGTTGAAACGAAAAAATGGGGATATATCAGTGCCGAAGAAACCATGTAAATCTCTGTATGTGATTATCGAGTCGCCTCATAAGCGTCTATCGGAGTAGCGAGTTAAGTTGAATAGGTTCAGCCTCTCCTCATAACAAGGACGTTGGATACTGTACGAGATGCTTGTAGCCCTCCTCTGAACATTTTCCAACAGGTCTCGTCCACGTTGTAGCGTTGGATACCAAATGGGTCCAGCGAATTATTTAATTCGCCTAACATAATATGACGTGTACAGCAGTAGAACTGTCACAGCCCTTAAAGGAACTTTCAATAAAGTTCAGACTCCTTTTGGCCTTAGTCGTTGTGTATTGGATATGATAGGACAGACAGAGGAGATTTCCTGGTTGCCGATGATGTAGCTGATCTTTGGATTGTTCTTTCCAACGTGTCGAACATAGCACTTCTCCAAGTTGAGGCGCCGCAGATATCTTCTGGACCATTCGTAAACATTGTCGAGATCAAAAGGATGTTATAGGTACGGGGAATATTGTATGACTTTGTTTACCTTATTATCAGTTTTTGCGATTTCTTGAAAGTTTATGTGATAAAAGAGTACATCAGAGCGCATAAAAACAATACACCATTGGGGATTCACATCGCATTTTTGCATTTGTGCATTTTTTACTCGCGCTCACAAACCTTCCGATATCCATTTTCTCATTAACCACAACGTTCGTAAACATCTTACTTATTTTGATTTCAGTTTCTCAAAATCTGAATTTTGACGACTACAAGGATGATGATATTTCGTCAAACTTGGATGATCAACCATCGTACCCGTTCATCCCCAAGGAACTAACGTCATTAGTACCTATGAAAATACGGCGAGGGATTGTTGAAGAATGCTGCCACAATGCGTGTTCGCAGGAACAGATAAAAGAATATTGTATGAAGTAAAATGTTAGACGCTGCCTAAATCATGATAAGATAAAAACGAGTGATAATAAAGGTCAGATGTGATCCCCAATGTTGATCATTTTAATAAAGTTGTATATATTTTTTAATGTTACTTAACAATTAACAATAAAAAGTTAAATTCAACGTAAACCAATTTTACAATATTGGGCGTTTATAAATGTCTTCCGAGTCATCGACGTTCATGCTGAAGTTTCAGTAGAACAAGATGAAAAAAATCTTGTAGTATAACCAAAGTGTCGTTATACCAACAGAAAATATTTAGATAAGGTGGACAAATTATAGAGAGATAGTCCGGAAACAAAAAACTTGGCGTCCACAGAACAGCAGATGACGTCTAACCACGATATTTGGAGATGGATACATGTGTTGTTGACAGATAACTTTTATTGTCTTTTTCACGAGTATTAATTACGGTAGCTGATTAATTATTTTCAAAATTTACCGATTCATTATTGCCAACGTTACACACTAATACAAAGATGTCACTTGCTGATCAGCTGTTCACCTGAGTCGACGTCAAAACCTGGTAGATACTCGTGAAATAGTATTTAGATGAATTCATTGTATATCACTTGTATCGCAAGGCTAAGCATTTTTTTCAAATCTACTCTTGTTTGGACATTTACTCACGATAGCGATACCTCTTTATCAGCCATTTGCAGTCTAGCACATTTTTGATTAAATGTTTACATACCGGGTGTTTCACCATTAGGATCTCAGAAACTGTAAGAGATACGAAGACGCTTAAATGGGGAAAAAGTTGCGTATTTAGGTAATTAACACAATGCTACTTAGAAATTTTCAAAAATGTATGATATATCACACATTGACGTTGCCAAACATAGTTATTTAAAAAATAGCATTTCCTAGGTAGACCTGGAAATTTGTCTTTTATACCAGATTTGTCCCAAAATCATTTTTAATTTCTTCCCTGACTTTATTTGAGATGGGTTTTCAAACTAAATTGGGGAATGGGGCAATTGCTGCTTTTTATCCTCTATGAGATGGCCTCGTCAAATTTTCCTCGACTTCCATCACGAAATTTTACGCCACATTGGAATTTTGTACATTTAAATGGAGTTTTCAGTTCGGAATTCAGTGATATATTTCCTTAGTTGACCGTGAATTTGTTGTTGGTAAGAAATTTATAAGGAAAGAAAAAGGTGTCGCGAAACCTGAACACAAAATGAAAATTTTATTGATGGTAATAACAATTATAATCATAAATAAGCAGAGGTAAATCATAGCAAATTCACAATGTTTTCCGATATTTTGTATGACTATCCCGGAAATTCTGATTTTTCAAATAACAAAGGTTTGGCCATTTTCAATCTATGATACATTATACATTTTTGAAATCAGTTTGATGCTACAGGATAAGAGACGAATCGTCATATTTTTTTGTATATCGAAACAACCACGCAGGCAGAAGCCTAAATGCCGGAACACCGCGGCTGCTATGATGATCCCAAAGAAATTTTGTTAATACGATTTTTGAACTGCCTAAGGTTAGTAGAACTGGGAAAAGCTTCCTCCCGTAGGTTGTTCCACAATCTAGACACCCTCGGGACAAAGGAGCGGTCGTATCGGCCAGTTCTGTATGTACGAAGTTTGACACGGTTAGGATGGGACGCCGAAGTCAGGCGGGTCTGTCTGGCAGGCACATCGCGCGGCGGCATCATGGAAGAGAGCTCTGAGGAGCAAAGCTCGTTGGTGTAGCGATAGAAAACAGCTAGATCGCCGACGGCCCGCCGGTGCGAAAGAGTCCCGAGACGGTCTGTTAGAGAAGAGTCATCGATCAGTCGGACCGCCCTCCTCTGGACAGCATCGAGCATGGACAATGTAGTCGGGGCGGCAGCACCCCAAACGTGCGAGCAATATTCGAGGCTAGGCCTTATCTGGGCCTTATATAGAGTGAGAAGGTCATGCGGAGAAAAGTACTTCTTAGCCCTAAACAAATACCCTAGCTTTTTCTCAGCAGCTACAGCTATTGAAGAGATGTGTTCGTGCCAGATCAGGTCCTCGGTGATCTGGACTCCGACCAGCCGAAACGACTGGCTCCTTGGTAGAACTCGGCCGTCCATCGAAACTGTATGAGCGCTAGGACGCTTTTTGTTCGTCAAAGTACAGTACTGCGTTTTGGAAGCATTGAACTGTACAAGATTGTTGCGTCCCCAAGCAGTGATAGCCTCCAGGTCCCTTGTCAGAGAAGAAGTCGTCGCTAGTCTTCTTTTTTCCAGCTCAGCGGCAGAGATCGGCTTGTCACTCTGAATTCCTGCATGTAGAGTACTGTCATCAGCGAAGCTGCGGATTGGGTTGATCGTGCAGGAAAGAAGGTCGTTGATATGTAAGAGAAACAGTGTTGGAGTCAAGACCGATCCCTGGGGAACACCCGCGTTGACGTTGTGGGATGAAGAGGAGAATCCGTCAATTACGACGGATATCTTGCGGCCAGAGATAAAGTCAGCCACCCATCTGCAAAGCTTTTCTGGGAGGCCATAGGATGGAAGTTTGCTTAAGAGGGCAGCGTGCCACAGCTGATCGAACGCTTTCGTGATGTCAAGAGCAACGACATGAGCCTCACCATGAGACTGGATGAGTTTACTCCACAGTTGCGTGACGTAAGCTAGGAGGTACCCTGTGGATCGTTGGTGCCGGAAACCGTACTGCGTGTCGCTAATCAAGCTGTGACGTTCGAGGTAGTCCAGAAGCTCGCGATTTATGCACCTCTCGATCACTTTACTTATAACAGAAAGCAGAGCTATAGGCCTGTAGTTGTAAGGGTCGGTCTTAGATCCTTTTTTTGGGATGGGCTGTACATGAGCAAATTTCCAGTTTTCTGGGAAGGTGCCGGATTCATAAGGTATCTGGAAGAGACGCGAAAGAACTGGAGCAAGCTCCGCTGCACATCTCTTCGGTACAATGGCAGGAATCAAGTCCGGACCAGAAGCTTTGTTGATGTCGAGCGACAAGAGCACTCGTCTTACGGTCTTATGCCTGAATGTTACCTCCCGCATAGTGTGGGGAACCCTTTGAATTGACGGCGCTTGGGCGTTGGTGGGGACGTCCATGGTGGAGTTGGCAGCAAAGATCTTGGCTAGCACTTCCGCCTTGGCCTTTGAGTCGAATACAATAGTTCCATCCTGACACGTAAGTGGTGGAAGGCTACTGTGTGAGAAGTTCTTTTCAATCTGCTTGGCCAGCGTCCAGAAAGACCGACTGCCATTGAGCTGCGACATTACCCTGTGCCTAACTTTTATATCATGCTGGTTTTTGGCATTGCGAACCGCTTCGTTATATTTGTTTCTGGACTCGACGTCGGCTTGTCTGTTCTCTACAGTGGGGTTTTGTAAGTAGGTTCTGTGTGCCTTCATCTTCTGCTGGCGAACCAGCCGTTGGACTCTGGTTTAGGAACTTTCACTGTGTGAGGGATGTATTCCTCCATTCCGACGTGGATAATTTCGGTTATCGAAGAACAGACAGTCGACGCATCCACGTCAGTGAAACAGACATCTCTCCAAGGAAAGCTAGAGAAGAGCCCCCTCCCAGTCGGCATGTCCGCAATGCCAAGTTTTGCGGCCTGTACGAGTTTCTGCTGCCACAGCGGCTTCTGACCGGAACCTAACTTCCACAACACCGTGATCTGAGTTACCCAGGGGGGACAGGACAGCAGTGTAGGGCTCGTCACCAGCTGGGTCAGTCCTTGAGTAAGAGCGAACGCTTCGACTGCACGACCTGCTGCATCGGTCTTATTTGAGCCCAACCAAAGCTCATTATGGGCATTGAAATCACCGAGAAGAACTACCTCTGAAGCGGGGTGATTGATGTTCAGGAAGTTGATCTGGATGGCGAGGTGTTCGAGTAGGTCATCCCAGTTATGGTTCGAGGGAGAGCGATAAAGGCAGCAAATAAATTTGGGTGATGTTTTGGAGTTGAGGTGAAGCCACAGAATGTCCTTCCGGTCTGATTGCAGAGAAAGATCCCTGGAGCAGGAAAGACTGCTGCGGACAAAAGCCACAACTCCCCCGTTCTTTCTCAGATTGGAGTGCACCTCGTAGTTTGGGAAGTTGAGATGGTTAATCGCTGCAGTCTCTGAGATTTTTGTCTCGGCCAAGAAAAGCACGGCGGGACGATTGGATTGCAGGTAGTGATGAACAACATCAATATTGCTGTTGATCCCGCCGATTAGAAAAACAAATTTTATCTTCGATGTTGTTCCCTCGAGCCCACCCTCCACCCGGACATTCCGAGAGTGGAGTGAGTTTACGTCCGGGAAATTCAAATTATGCCATTTTACATAGAAGAAAAAAGTGGCAATGTTAATGTACAATTTATTTTGAAACCCCACTACAAAATAAAGTCAGGATAAAATTAAGAAATTTTTGGAAAATTCAGTTTTTTCCGCCTCTTGCAAATACGCAATTTTGCCCCCATTCAAAATGAGGAATATTATTTCGAGCCCTACTATGAATGCTAAAACACAGCTATCAAAAGAGTGAGAGCTTATGTAGTTTGATTCAAGATTTACTGGAGAGCCGGACGGGTATTACGTATCTTGAAAAGTGACGTTATATCGATTTTTTTGACATTATACTGTTTTTTTTACATTATGTAGGTTTTTCGACAACATGTTAACTTAGCACTAGCCGATCGACACTTGTCGTGGACTCGTTTGTAGTTGTACGTGTTGCTTAAACGTCATGATGTTTCAGTTATCAACGTGTGGCTCTGATGTGATGTAAAATCTGCTTCAGAGATGTCATTACTGGAGGTCTACGCCGAGGCATAGAGAGGATTTGTGTGTTAATGTGTATTGATGATAATTCCATTGGATTGTTGTCTCAAATACATTTACTTGAGATTCAAGGCTAGAAATTAGTTGCGCATCCACTTTTTCTTATCTATTCTGGAAATTACATATGCTAATTTACTGAATTTAAAAAATGAGATAGATAATAAATAATTATTATTCACTGTGCACTGCCGAATTACAAGTCATATATGTACATGCTCACAGTAATTACACACAACGCGGGCGCGGCTGTAATTTTTTGTAATTCGTCTCAAAGTTTTTTAAAAGACAAAAGAAAAAAACGGAAAAAATCGTAATGTATAACTTTGAACATAAC